CACAGACCTTTCTGGGACTGCTGAGGCCTTGCAAAATAAATGTGCCTGGTGCTATTGGTATTACAATCCTATTGCAGCACCCAAAGCAAAGTGGGTAGATGGGGAATCTGACAAAGGATTTGGCTACCAGTAAGTCAGATAAGAGGTTTCACTAGCCAAAGTAAACAAGTCCTCTTATTCCCTTCCTAATTCTCTGGAATGAGGCAGGAAAGTGTCCAAGTACAAAAATGGTCTAGTCAGACCAGTATGGCTAAAAAGCAGAATACAGGTGTCCTCCAGGAGCAATTAAATGCACAGAGGAAACCTTTCCTAGTCCCAATTTTATCAGTTCTCTCAGGGTTCTTTGGACTGTGTTTTGTTTTTTCACCACCTTCCTCTCCAGACATTTGTAATGCATCTGGGAAACCCTTCTTAGGTAAAACCAGTAATAGAGAAACTGCTGAGAACCCTCTGGTGTCCTTGAAGTGGGAGCTGTCTGCGAGTGTGTCACTGTTCGGTGCTTCTTTTCACACAGCAGGAGTGCCGCCTGCGAAACCACTCTTAAAAGCATTGCACTGGCTCTGAGATGCAAAGCATACTGCATCTTACCTTTTAAAAATCATTTCTCTCTTTCCATTGCAGGCCCTAGGGCACATCGGCAAGGTGACCAAAGTCTATGGGAACGGAGATTTGCGAGTGTTGGTTGAAGGGCAGTCCTGGACGTTTAACCCAGCTTGCCTGACAGCCTATCAGAGAGAGGAGGAAGCAAACCTCATGACAACGGAGAATGCAAAGGAATCAAAAAGTGAGATAGTGAGAACAGAGCTGGTCTGATCTGTCAGGGATTGTGAAATGGTTGCTCTGGTGTAACAACAGCAACACTTTTTGGACAGTGTTAAACTCCAGCTGCCTGTTCTTCCCTTGGACAGAGCTCCAAAACCAAGCTGGGCCTTGCTGGGGAAGCAAAGCTGGCCTTAACAGGAAAATACAGAATTTAGGACTTGGGAATTCTAACCATAGCACTGCCCTAGGTTCAGTATTTGCTTCTGCCTTGATCTGTCTCAATTTCCTGTTCCGTCCTGCTGCATTTCCTGTAGGGGGATACTAATTCTTGAGTGCTTGTGAAATATTCCCAGGTCCTTGTGTGGAGGTGTTGTCAAATCAACGATTATTTTTGGGGTGGAATGAGCAAATTGAATTTGGAATCACATGATGTGTAGAGGGAAGTTTGTCCATTTTGCACATCTGCTTATAAATTTTTTTGTAGCCTCACTATACTTATTTCCTTTAGATGTCAGGATCATGAGGGAGAGAGGACAGACCTCACCTTTTTTTTTTGTTTTGCTATGTAGATGGGTCCTAAACTGTTTGTTCAAGTTAGACTTCAGGGGGTACTTGCATATGAGCCCAAGCTTTTTAACTTTGCTCTGTCTGGAGAGCTGTAGCACCTCTGTCCTCTCAGGCACTCAAAAGTCTGTAATTAGAGGGCCCATCTGAAAGGACCTGTATTTCTTCCCTACAGTATCTTTTCCAAAACTATGCATTCCTCTTCAGATTATTTGCCTTTTAGTAGCGATTTTTCTGTTTTGGTCTTCTGTAGCATGGTCTCATGTCTTTTGGGTTCTCAAAACCTCAGACTTGTAAAGCAAAAGTTCTGTGTAAGCCATAAATTTGTAAAGCTCTCTGTGTGAGCTAAGTATTAGAGGTACAGCAGGCCCATACTGTGGTTATACAGCTGTACTATGCCATCTGTATGCATGTATACACATGCTCTTAGGCCCTCTTAACCTGTGGCTGTTTCTCATTCCTACCAGGTACTTTGATTACTGTACTGGAGAAACTGCTCTCCCAGAAGACAGAGGCAGAGCATGCAGGCTGCCTGGTCATTTGTGCAGCACTGAACAATGCAGCTAAAGTTCGGGAGCTCCTTCAGAAGTACCCAGACAAGGCAAGTTTTGAAGACATCCTGAATGGTTATTTTTTTGTTGCTCCTCTTTAAAATACTGTCATAAAATTTTGTAGTCAAGTGGGGAAAAGGATGGGAGAAAAAGAATAGATTTTTCAGATGTGGTATTAGCTCCTAGCAGCTGGAAAATTATTTTGCTGCAATTTAGGATTAAATTTGTATGTTGAATGTGCATATTTTATGGCTCCAGTTTGTGGCATTAAATCTGAACTAGAGTTAAGGACTTAAAGCACTTTCCCAAAGCTGGCTTTTCCCAGGTTTCCTGTATGGGTACTGCACCTGTAGAAGTAGGGGGAGAGGTATTTATCGCTACGAAAACAGTAGCAAGAGGTCCAAGTACCTAGCCCCTGTTTGAAAAGAAGGCCACAGGATGTGTCTGGCTGGATGTGTCTGTCCTTAGATGACCTTGCAAAATGGTGTTGTTGGAATCAGAAAGGAGAAAGGGTGCCCAGATCCTGACGCTGTGCATGTCTGTGCAGCGCCTTATCTCATGTCTGACTGGAGCAAGGAACTGGGCCTGACTTGTTGCTGAACAATTTATGTGCTTGCAGAGTGCTAAACTGTTAGGAAGGATCACGTCTACTCAAATCACTGCTCTTTCAAGCTGCCTGTTTGAAGGTTCAAGCTCCTTCAGTGAGGGGTGCAGGGTTTATAAACAGGTTAAAAAAGGAGAACCACAGAACAAAGTATTTCAGCAGCGTCCTTGGAAACCATTGGTAACAAAACATAAGTTTTGTTGAGGCTGTGTCTGCATGGCTGGCAGGAGCAGCTGGATGCACGAACCAGAAAAACTAGGATCAATTCTAAATGGGTGAAGCTGATTTAGTGGTTAGTTGTCTGGTATTTATTACAGTTCTTTATGTACAAATTTAATGGGGCCTCTGGAGATGGGAGGAATAGACAAATACCTGCAATTGTCTAATTTATCCCAGATAAGAAAGTGCTAAGAGTCAGGAATCCATTAAGTTATCATCCTTATTAGATTTCTATTCCTATTCTAGTATTTGTATTAATAAATTAGTTATTTCTATTAGAGCGTTATATACAAGAGGAGGCTGGATTTGAGGCTCACTTAGTAGTGCAAGCTGGAATTGCTTGCCAAGGCCTTTCCAGCTTATCAGCATGGTCTGTCTCGTGTAAATGGAAGAATAACACAGTGGCCTCTAATGCCTCCTTGCCTAACTGACTGGCCCATCGTTTTGAGTGAATCAAGGGAAGTCTTGCCTGTCCTGCTGTCCTGACTGCTGCATAGAACCAACTGCAGGGAAAAAAACCTTTGTTCTCCTTGCCAGTCTGCTGAGGTTTTGCTAGCTCCTTCATCTCTTCTCCTTAGCCTCCCACTGATTTCAGTAGCTTCTTTTCCTTTTTTTTTTTCCCTTGCCTTTCATACAGCCTCTCTTTGTTCTTCAGTCCTTCTAATTCTCAAAAAATCTCATTGCAGCACTTCAACACTGTGATATACCCTCCAGCAAAGTACCTGGAGTAACATAGAACAATGGGGACTTGGCACCTTCAAAGCCTTATGCAAGGCTAATTTGATCTCCTCACACATTTTCCTATTGGGAAAGGAATTGTTGGCAGAGATGTCAAGAAGTGTTCTGCTTGCAAGCATACAGGGATTTGGCATCAGAGCTGCAATTAGAGCCCTGGCTTCCAGCTCTGTTCACTCGCTTCTCCCTTCTTGACTAAATGTGCTGTCCCCTTCCCCTTTAGAAATATTCTGGGACAAGGTCAGCCTTGTGGCTGATGTACGTAAAGCGGAGCCAATGGGACACGGATTCTGATTAGCATTTCTGAGCCTGCAACTGCTGCACAGCTAGTGACTTCCATCCTGCTAGGCCTGCTCTAGAGCAGAGCTAAGGCCTGAACACAAGGCAAGGTCTTTCCTAATCAAGCTGTTTGCTGTGTCTCTGCCCTTCCTGTAGGTCGATGCAAAGAACCAGGGCAGAACTGCCCTGCAGATTGCCTCTTATCAGGGGCATCTGGATGTTGTGAAGATTTTGCTGCAGGCACATGCCACTGTCAACCTAAGGGATGAAGAGGGGGATACAGCACTGCACTACGCAGCTTTTGGGTACGATATCTTTCTTCATGCTATTGCTGATACAGGACCTAAAGGGCTGCAAAAGGACGTTTCTAGAAATAAATGGGCAGTCTGTGTGAAGGGGGTGTGGCTGATGGAGGCTTTTCTCTGATTTTACCTTATGTTAGAAATGGGCCTTTGAGCTTCAGGGCCCCAGGTGTATTTCTTAGTGCACTAATTTAACCTCCACAGCTAGGTCAGTTTGCGTGCCAGACCTTTTGGGGGGAATCAGAACAAGTGGTAAGGAGGTTTTGGTGATTAGATTTTTTTCAGGGTGAGGGGTGGGTGGTTTGGTTGGGATTAGTTTGGTTGGTTGGTTTCTGTAAGTGCATATGTTTTCCAGAGCAAGATGAAATGTTGAGTTGTGGTGTCAGTTGCCAGGGAAGAATTCATCATTAAGAGTGGGAGATTCCTGTTGATTTAAAAGCAAAGAGAGAGCAGATTCTAGACTACAAATTAGGAAGGTTTTGTTGTGGTTTTTTAATACTAAGAGGAGGTGGGGTGAGGTCGAGAGGATGCAAAACGAGAAGTTCTGTTGCCTTGCAAGGAGGAGGAATTTACTGTCTGCAGAGGATTGAATCTAATCTGTCTTACTCCTTGCTTTTAAATCAGAAACCAAGCTGAGGTTGCCCGTGTGCTTATCGCTAAAGGAGCCAGTGCAGACCTGTTAAACAATGCAAAGTGCACAGCATTGTATGTTGCTGTCAGTCAAGGATTCACAGAGGTGGTGCAGACCCTCTGTGAGCTCAACTGTGATGTCAACCTCCCAGTAAGTTGTGGGTTTGTGGGGGAGGGTGTTTGAGATTTTTGGTTTTTGTTTTTTGGAGGCGGGGGGGTGCTTCTTTATGTATTACACCATTTGTTGCTTTGTAAGTTTTTAAGGTCATTCTCTTAAAATGCACTACTGTGCATTGCACCGAGGCAGTATTCCTCTAATTTCAGTAGTCTAAAATTCCAGGTTTGGGTCTGCCCCTTCCTCATTGTGGGTTTGCTCAGCTCAAGGCAGTGGCACTCTCTCTGCTGTGCTGGACACGGGCTTCCAGTGAAAGCTGACCTGCTGCTAATGTGCGTTGTTGAAACACTCCTGTTCCCAGCAATAAGGAGTGGTGAGATATTTAAGACTGGCATTTAGGAACTTCAAGGTAAATTGGTAAATTGGACCCAGCCCATTTTTAGGGTGTGCTTGTATGATGGTGGGCCTGGACTGTGCTGGGTCAGTCTCTCAAAGCTAGTTAGGAATGTTAGCACCTGTCTACTCAGGAGCTGGTTTCAAGTCCTGGGGAAATGATTTCACAAAGGCTACGAAACTGCTGTGGATGCCAGTGATGTTTGGATGTTTGGCCTGGAGCTGATGTGACTGGTGACACAATATATCTTCTTGTCTTGAACCTTGCCCTCAGGGTGAGCTGTTTCATTCGACACTCTGAGGTAGGTAACCTGTATTCTGCTTTGGTATCCTTGTATAGGATTCCCAGGGAGACACCCCTCTGCATTATGCTATCACTGCAGATTACAAAGTCGTTATTGAGATTCTCACCGAAGTACCCAACATAGACTTCACTGTCCAGAATTGTCAAGGCTTCAACCTGCTCCACTATTCTGCTCTAAAAGGCAACGAGCTGTAAGTGACCCTTTTTCATTTTTACTGCTTTTACAGATGTTAACTTGTACTTGCTGTCTTAACAGTAAGAAGGTAGCAGAGGTAGTTCTAGAAGGAAGGAGAAGTTCTAGCTAGGAAGGAAGTGGTTGGTTATACATTCCTTGGGTTTAGATATGGCTAGGTAGAGCTGTTGCCCTCCTTCCCTCCTTCATGCATTCACAGGAAACTGCTGCCTGCTTTCCCCATCCCATTTTTCTCATACCTCCCTAGCTTGGCTAGGAAATCTGTCTGCTAAGGATAGTCTCCTTAGATGTTTGGGTTCGCACAGGAAAGGACAGGAGAAGGTCTGTAGTAAACAGTACTTGAAAAGACTGTGTCTAACTGAGAGCCTCTGGAATTCTTCCAAGGATAAATCTGCTCATTATTTTCATAGCAGTGTGAGTTTACTATACTTCATTAAATGATAACTGAGGGCTTTTGTTTTATTCTTGTAATTCAATCTGTGAGATAGAGGGAGTGCTCTGCATCACAGGTGCCAGCTCTTAGTGCTGCCTATTAGAACATGAACATTCATAACTAACAACTTAATAGTTGGACTGGATGATCTTAAAGGTCTTTTCCAACCTAAACGATTCTATGATTCTATGAACTACTGACCAGAAGAGGCAGGCCTCTCTCTTCTGCATTGTTTTCCTTCCTGATAAAGTAACTCTTCTCTCTCTGTTAACCTCCAACACTCTAGAGCCATAAAGAAGATTCTAGCAAGAGCTCGGCAGCTGGTTGACTCCAAAAAGGAAGATGGCTTCACTGCCCTGCACCTCGCTGCTCTCAATAATCACAAAGAAGTGGCAGAAATTCTTATCAAAGAGGTAAGAAACAAAACAAAACCACCAGCAACAAAAACTCCCATCTGTCCCGCTCCCAAACCCCTACATTTCCTAAGCGCTATTGAGTTAATGCTGGGACTCACAAGGATGTCTCTGTCTCTTTGAAGAGCTGGCATTGTTTGCCAGACTTTGAAGAACAGTGGTCGGCATTC